TTCAATTCAACGTGGGATATACTTTTTTTCTTGGGTTGTAGATATAGAGGTATTTGTGTTGCTTCTGACTAGATGTAGATGTAAGGTTGCAAATGGTACAGGTGGCAGAATTAGGATATGATCATCCTCTTTGTTCTGGGATACTAGATGAGAGCTTATTCCCTATTGTTGATTTATCTGATGAGTCTTGCGTTACTTTTAAGGCGTGGAGTGGGAAATTTTTAATACTTCTGAGGGATGAGGCGATAGTGAGTAGCTGTGAAGATTTTATCCGCAAAGAAATAAAAAAGAAAAGCGAAAAAAAGATTAAAAAATTTGGAGATTCCCAGTTTGGTCAATATTTAGACCCCCCTGAAATTTTACAAGAGATCACGAATGGAATGTTAGATGCGTTGGGACGAATTTGGGCTTCACCAAACTGGAGATCTTTTGCGACTACCAAAAAAAATACAATAAACGAAGGTACTTATGTCTGTGAAGTTTTGTTGCCATTGTTAAATATTGTAATGAGTGATTTGCCGATTAATTGCGATATATGGGTGGAATGGTGAGTAAAATTTGCGTTTTCTGTCTAATATAATATTAGCCTTGAAAATATTTATATTTATTTATGTAGGGGTGATAAGGTGAGTAGGGCAAGTGCTAGACGAAAAGGCTCTTCTAAATCTGCATGACGACCAGATTTTTCAGTAATTGTTGGAATAAAAGGTAATACTCTAGAGATTGGATATCTTGAAACGGGACGACCGGATTCCACCATTGAAAAACAGTGGAGGGATCACAAAAAATTAAATCGACTTTCTAAGGATTCTATTGATTATACCATAAGTGCTAAACAGCAAAAGAAAATCAAAGGGATAATGATAAAAAATATATTAACAATCTTCACAATTAATGTCACCGGTACTGTGCTAGAATTTCGATGTATGAGTAAGGAGTCTGGTATATACAAATCCTGCCTTCTCAAACGTGCACCTATTCCATTAAGTTTATCAAATGCAGATCCTGAAAATGTATACCATTTAATTCATGCATTATTATCATTTAGAACTAGGATTATATGTGTCATGCGTAAAATGTTATTGGATAAAGGTAATGTTAATACAGATGAGTACAATTCTGATGAAACGAGAACAACTGTATCAACACCATCATAAGATTCTATTAATAGAGTAACTTTGATACCTAATATATACGAAAAATAAGTCAATTAATTGTTACACATTGAGAATATATGAACCGAGATTATTTACCTCTAGATATCTGCACAGTTCTACATAATCAAAAATCGCTTTCACATCTTGTGTATTCTTATTTATGATAGTTATGTGGTCTTTGTCTTTTCTTTGCATGTACTTATCCCGGTTTAAAAATTGCATATACTGTTTAGGATTATCGGTGAATCTACCTTGAG